CAGTAGCAGTAGCAGTAGCAGTAGCACTAGCAGTCAGTAGCAATAGCAGTAGCAGTAGCAGTAGCAGTAGCAGTCGTAGTAGGAGTAGGAGTATGAGTAGGAGTAGTAGTAGGAGTAGTAGTAGCAGTAGTAGCAGCAGCAGCAGCAGCAGTAGTATGCATTTCGGCAAAGAGAAGAGGTCAGGAAGAGCAAAGAAGGGTGGGGGCGGGGTGTGTTGTTTCAACACGTGATGTACGTGCCACGGCTGTTATAGAAAATGAAAGATGAATGAAGATTTTGGTGCCAAGCATATCAGACATCGAGAATGGCATTCAAAGAAGATGATCCGTGAGGGTATGGGTCATGCCCTCGCCGTGTCAGACACCAGGAATGGAACAGCATGAAATGAGATGGATACCCAGCTGCCCAGGCCGGATACGAGCAGGTACGTTTACACCAAGTTGGGGAGGGGGGTCTTGTCTGACCAGGACCCCCTCTACCCCTCCTGGTCCCCAATAATCGCGTTGTTCGAATGACATGTAAAACAAGAGACTTGCTACTGCAAAAGGAGTGACCCTCTGTTCCCATGTGCTAGGAAAGTTCACACACACAGAGCCCCGCATTGGGGGCGGCTGTAAACAAGAAAACCTCAAAACGAAGCCATACAGATCATAGCCACGCCACGGCTGAGAACTAAGGCCACGCCAGGGCCGAGAAGCCTAAGAACACCCCAAACTAAACCACAAAACCCGGTGGGCTGCAATGCCCTAATGTAGAGCTTGTCGTGGTAGTCAAGCGTCTAGTCCATCCACCATTATTTAGGGTTACGGTAGGGGTGAGGACTGTCCTTCAGCTGGGTGTGCGAGCCCCCAGAAGCAACAGAGGGATAGGGAAGGCTGACCAGCTACCCTCGCGAGGGTCCAGGTCCAGCCTTGGAGAAAGGTTAGGAACTGTCCTTCAGCTGGGCGCGAGGGCCCCCAGAAGCGACAGTTCAAGATCAATCAAGCGTTGGTTGTTGCAGTACTCAGTAGTTGTTGTGGTGAATGCTGCGCTGTCTTGTAGAAATCTCCCATATTGCTCCGGGGCAGTGGTTGCTGTGACACCGTTGGTGTCATCTGCCAAGGCGGCGCGCCTTGCGTGCCGAATTGTACCACTGGTCAGGTATCCAAAAGGGCGCGTTCGCATCAGCGCCGGCAGCGGCGAGCAGCAGCCAATGGCTGCCAAAGACAAACGAAAGTAAACCCCCAAACTGGCCAGCGTGACCGCTGGTGGTCGTCTTGGGTCAAGGGCAAGATGGCGAGGCAGAGTAATTGCTGCACTAGACGCTGATTTGCTGCACTTGCACATGCCCTCATGTCAGAAACACATGCATTTGCAAGCCCTGAAGACAGAAGATCGCAGTACGAGACAGGATAAGGGAGGTAGACCTGTGCAACTGCCCGTGCATTAGACGTCCAGTTACTGCACCTGCACTCATGTCAGAGACTCATGCCGACAGCGTATTAGCAATAATTGTCCGTCATAGTTCCGGATAGCCGGTCTAGACCAGGTGCCCAGGGAGTAGCAGCCCGACAGCCCAAGGATCAACGTGTTATCCGGCTCCTGGCCAGCTACCCCGCAGGGCCACCATGGCGCCGTGACAGAAAGCCGTTTTTCTGGAGTCTCCGGCGTCTCCGGGACCCACGCTGAATCACATTGATGGATTTCGGCAAAGAGAAGAGGTCGAGACAGCAAAGTGAAGGTGTGTTGTGAATTGTCATGCAGCCTGCAATGAAAACTAATCTGGACACCACATGGGGCCTGTGCTTATTTCTGGAATTTTGGCACCACAGGGGGCTGCCTTGCAGGTACACAATCTGGCGTCCCAGATNNTCGTTGGGCAGTGGATGGTAGAAGGCTCACTCCCCCCCTGCTGTGTATATCAGTTGATTTGAACCTGCAAAGGCAAACTTGCTGGCACAACATGCTGGTAAAACATGCAGCAGGATGCTCATGGTCAAGAGGAGTGACCCTCTGTTCCCGTGCTAGGGAAGTGCACACACACACACACACACACACACACACGCACATGCACACCCCAATGCTTAAACAGCTTTGAAGACACTGGATAATAGTGATGCATCCCACAGTGGATTTGCGTTTAAGCCTTCCCGCCTTCGCCCTTCATCAACATGCTTAGTTGATATAGTTGTCCACGCTCCTAGTTCCGAATTTTAATTCCGATGAGTGCCTGGGTGAGCCACTGCGACGTTCATGCGAAGTAGAAATGAGTCCTCGGCGATTCCTTGTCCCACAGCACCAAGCCGAAATGCTAAAAATTCCCAGGTTGGACACCGAGAGAACGGAGCTGGGTCTCCGGCTCATCGCCGGCGTGGCACTTCGAGGCCTGGGGTCTTTGGCTCAGAGATGCAAAGGAATTGGATGAAGGTGAAAGGGCTCGTTCCTCTTACTTGGGTATATGAGAGTGCCTGTATCAGGCCATGAGGCCAGCATCTCCCTGCTTCTCCGCCAACTCCAAAGTCACTTTGAGGCCCCCTTGGGGGCTGGCTTGTGAGAAGACTCCGCCCAGGGCAAGTGCACTGTACCCTTGAAATTGAATCTCAAGCCTAAGCCCCGGGTTCTTCTGAGGTCCTCCGCAGAATCAGTGCTCGTTCCCTGGCAAAGGTGGCCGTTCCAGGCACCGGATGGGTTTCCCATGGTTTCCGGGTGGGCCTGGGATGCGTGGACCAACGGTTTCCCTCCGAACAAGATCCAACACCTTGCTCCAGAACAGTCCCCTGTTGAGGCCATCCGAGAGTCAAAGCTGCGCTCCTGGGTCTTCTGGCAGATGCGGACAGAGAAGCTATTCTTGAGTCATGTATGAAAGAATTCAATTCCAGGCAGGGTTTGTGCGCATTTCAGCTAACAGCGAACAGCTCAGGAGGGCTTCGGGAACGTTCGGGTCGAGGCCCTGCACGCCTTGGGGTCCCTTGTGCCTGCCGGAGACTTTGAGGTCTTGTCTGCCGTCGCACCGCTTCTCCTCGATGCAAACTGCTACACTCAGAAAGCCGCAGCAGCAACGATCCTGCAGCTCGTGGATGCCACATCGAGACAACCACTGATGGCTTTGCTGATTGAGCAACTGGGATCCATTCTGGAAAAAGAGACCTGGCATTGGCGTCCCTCCTTCGACTTGCTGGCCACGCTCGCGACAGAGGCGGATGATGCAGAAGTGGAGATACTCGTCGGAGCACTCTTGCCGTTGTTGAAAGCATGGGATCCCGACGTGACCCTTGGTTCGAAACAGAGCGGCTGATTTGTTCAACTTGCTTTCAGGGTCTTCGAAGCCAAACTCTTGAAATGACGCAACGTCTAGAAGCATCAGCCACCCGCCGATTACACCTGTAGACCGGTCGGCCAGTAAACCGCTGAAACACACGAGTGCTTGGGGACTGTGCTCCCGAATTGGGCTGCTAACCCCCCCCTTCGGGTGACACGTAAGTACAGCTGGCTGCAAACTGCATACTGAAGAGACTGGCATCAGTTCGAAAACCCGAGGCCATGCGAAACCTCCTCCAGGCCCCTTTGGAACCTCCGGATCCCCTCTAAAAGCATTTCCATTCAGGCAGCGGTCGGCCACAGAAACTCTGCTTCCGCTGGTGCTGTCCGAATCCGCCGCTGCCAGAATCAGGGCGCGCCTCTGCGGTGCGGGCTTCCTGGTTCCTCCTGACATCCTGCAGGAGATCGAGCAAAACGCTTCGGAGTGGATTGGGAGGCGAGCTGCGGCCAGCCAACCTGAACGGGATTGAGCAGCGGTCCAAGGTCGTACAGTCTTGCCGCTCGCATTGAGCGGTTTACTTGATCCTGCTGAAAACCCTTCTCAGTGTGCTGATTGCGGGATGTTGCGTGCATGACGCAGCCCTACCACTTGGCCCAACCTCGGTTTAGTGTTGTGCCAGTCGCAAAAGTGGCTCATTGCCAGGTGGTGGGCTAAGGGTGTCCATCGAGATGACGGCCCTTTACCTTGCGGCTCCGGAGGCAGAGCATCAAAGTCGCACTGCATGAGAGACATGTCATTCTTGCAAGGTCTTGAATGAGCCAGAGCTGCTCGAGCTGTTGCGCAAGCAGTTTGCGCCTTAAAGTGCTCAATGCTTCAAACAGTCAAAAAGAACATGTATATATATATATATATGTATATATACATATATATATATATGTATAATAGCTGCATACACATGCACATACACACATAATGATATGCACTTATTCTCTCTCTCTCTCTCTCTCTCTCTCTCTCTTTATATGTATATTAGATGGATATATGTGTATACATATACATATAATAATTCAAACATCTGTCGAGGGTATCCATGCTGCAGATGGTACATCAGCGTGAAGCCTGGTGCCTGGAGCTTTCGCAGCCAAGGCCCGCAGAACTTCGGGCCTTCCGCCTCACGCTTTCCTTGGGTGCAGGCCTTGGAAGTCGCAAAGGATTTTTGTATTTACATATATATATATATTTTTTTTTTACACACAAGATAGACAGTACATGTGCACATATGTTTATGTATATATGTATGTAGGTAGGTAGGAAGGTATGTAGGAAGGTAGGTAGGTCGGTATGTATGTAGGTATGTATACATAAATACGTATATTCATGTATAGTCTAGTCTAGTCTAGTCTAGTCTAGTCTAGTCTAGTCTAGTCTAGTCTAGTCTAGTGTAGTATGGTTTAATATAGTATGGTCCAATTGTACAGTATAGCGCAGTAGAGTAGAGTAGAGTAGCATGGAGTAGATAGAATAGAGCAGAGACAGGTTGTATATACAGGTAGTTTGATAGTTAGATAAATGGGTAGACAGACAGATCGATATAGTTAGATAGATAGATAGTCAGATAGATAGATCGTCAGATAGATAGATAGGTAGAGAGATAGGTAGATAGGTGGATAGATAGTGTATGGGAGGGCACGGGGGGCTGGTCTAGGCTGCAGGGGCCTGGGATTTTGGACAGGTTCAAGACGACCTGGAAATTTTTCGGCGTTCTCGCGTTCGTGGTTGCGTCTGCGGGTAAAGAAATCGCGCGCATCAAGTCCCTTGATCTCATGTGGACAGGTCGTGTTACCTTGGAGCAGCTGGTGGCTGAGTCCGATGCGTCAGCGATTCAGCTAAGATTTGATACAGCCTCGAGCCCAGTCTCTGGCTTTCTGCAGAGGAAGTAGCTTCGTTCATGTGTTCTTGGCCCAGGTCGAGAAACAGCTCCCTGTGGACAGGTCTGAAGTCACAAGTCCTTGCCATGACCATTCGGCGCTACAACGGCCAGGTCTGGTGAAGACGAGTCCCAGGTATCTCACACGTGCGTCTGCCCAGGAAATTTCTATTGCCTTCCTGAGCTACTTGTAAGCCGCTTTGTGAGGCTGGTCATGGCGGATGATGCAAGCGAACTACAAGAGGCCGGCAACATTTACATGTCCATGCTTGGTTTACTTCAACAAACGACTACTTGTAGCCGCAAGTTGAGCAGCCCAAGGCCTTATCTGCACTGCAGGCCAGCGACCGGCGTGTTTTCAGGCTTTGAGTGCTGACCATTGCAGGGGTTCGGGCTTGTAGTTTAAGCTAAGGCAGCTAACGTTGAGCCTCTTGGGGCTCAGGAGGTGCAAGGTGTAGGAAGGAAGCCTTGAGAGAGGTCTGCCTACAAGTTCCGGGTGCCGCAGGGCAGCTGCCGGAGCCACAGATTCACCCATCTATATATGTATATATATATAT